TGGAGGGGATCCCCATTACCTGTAAAGCGCTTTGAGTGGAGTGTCCAGAAAAGCGCTATATAAGTGTAAGCAATTATTATTAAATTATTATTATTCAGTTTCCTGCCAGCTCTTTCCTTTGTGGATCTTGCTGTTGGCACATATTCATTGGAAGACCTTGTCCTTTCTTTAACCCCTGTTCACCTCCGTTTCAAATCCAGTGCGTTTGTAAATTGCCAGACAAACTACACAGCCCGCAGGCTATAAACCGATCTTGAACCACTTCTTTGGGAAACAACTTCCCACAGAAGTTATTGTGAGAACGGTGTGGTTGAATGCATTCAACCATGCACGACATCAGAAGGGAGAAAACGTGAGATTTTAAAGACTGGTCACAAATCAAATTAAATTTAGCCTTTACCTAATGTAGTATTAACACCTTATTATTTAAACAGATAAAGAAAAAAAACGTAAACGATCGTTCTCACGTTTTAGAGATGTGAAGAAGTGAATTAACACTTATAAATGTACAGTTTTAACTGAACCACACTGGCACAAATAGTTTGCTTCATATCCTAAATGACAACAGGCAGTAAGATCTCCCGGAGGTGTATCAATGTAAGTACAGCATCTTAAACATCTGCTGTAAGCCTTACTGTAGCTGCAATATAGTGTACCGTAGTACAGTACTTTCCCACCATCACCTTGATATTGAACATGATGGTAACACTAATTATTTTTACGATTATGCTGTAGTAGCAGAAAAACCTTTCCTTAGGCCAGTTTTACAACGTAGTACTCAATACAGTTTTTCCTTTTTTAAAGGCCTTTTGCTTTTCCCCTTTTATCACAGAATTGGAAGCTGCGACAGTATTAGTTTAGAGACAGACAACCAGATGTATTCAAGCACGCAACCCTGTTGTGCGCTACAGCAAAATGAGGAAATTATGCTGCGGAGAAATTATTTGAAAGGAAATTGCCATCCTGATATTTTTTTAAGGGGTTACAAGCGTGTTTGCTAGACGCACAACGCCTCCCCTCGGGCTCTTTATGACGTCCCCAACCGCGTTGTCAAGGCGACGGGGCTGTTGTCAGCTGCGACTTGACGCTGGGAAATTGGCCCGAGACTCTTAAAGCTGCAACGAAATTGGTGCCGATTAGCATAAGTGTGGATTCGCAAAACGAGACAGACATGCAAGGTAACTGAAGCAGCTATTTCGGTTTGCATCCCGTTCAATCGGAAGAGATCGTGTGCTCGTCAATACACGCAACCAGCTAGCAAGGAACTTCAGAGTAGGACGGCGGTTTTGTTGTGCCTTTTTTACTAGTGACATCTAACATCCATAACGCTGTGACAAGTGGTCTGCTCCTGTGAGGCTCTGGTTAGAGAGAGGGGTTATGTCTCAGAATATGTTTTAGCGTGGATTGCGGCGCATTTAATATGAGTCAGGCAACAGTGGCGCATTTTACGTTTACTTCTGGCGTTTTTGAAATTACGGTACTCGGATTTGCAATAACACATCAATAACACCAGGTCTGAAGATGACAAAAACCTAAGACGAACGGCGTCAACCCCCCCCC